ACACAGAGACAGAGGCGGAGCCTGGGGCATCCATCAGCCCTCAGATGGAGAGTCAACAGCCCCCAGGTCTGGAGGTGGCTAATGAGGAAGAGGAGGAACAGCTGGACCCAGTGCCTGACACATGGATGCGCAGAAGGCAGAGGAGAGGAGAGCAGTAGAAATCTATGGGCTGGTCCTTGGGACAGAGAGAGGGGAGGGGAGAGGGAGAGAGAGCACAGAGAGACAGACAGAGAGAGACATAGAGGGTGGGCGGAGCCTGGGCCATCCGTTAGCCCTTAGATGGAGAGTCAACATCCCCGGGGTCCGGAGGTGGCTGATAATGAAGAGGACGAACAGCTGGGTCCAGTGCCTGATGCATGATTATGCAGAAGGCAGAGGAGAAGAGAGCAGTGGAAATCTATGGGCTGGTCCTTGGGACAGAGAGAGAGAGAGACGGGGGGAGAGGGGGAGAGAGAGAGAGAGAGAGGGAGAACAGAGAGACAGAGAGAGGTTGGGCGGAGCCTGGGCAGCCCGAGAGTTTCAAGGGAGGAGCCTGAAAAGTGGGAACGGCCTTGAGCTACCAACCTTGACATGCTGCATTAGCTGCAGCTTCTGCATATACACCAGTTGGCAGTGGGGGCACTTAAACACGCCCACCATCAGCCGGTTGGCGTTTTGCTGGAAGTGATCTTGCAGAAGTCTCTTCTTGTTGAAGACGGTCTCACAGGAACATTTGTAGATCACCCTGGAACGGTCGGGTGTGGAAAAAGAAGAAACCTTCGTGAACGAATGAATTAGGAAAAGCAAATAGGCCGATACTTCAGAGTCCATTGGAGTTGGGCAACCAATGCATTTAAATCATCATCATCATCATTAAAAAAAAACCCATTTAGGCTGGATTTGGCACTTTTATCTATCTGCTGAGTCCTTCCTGGGATAAGCAGAGGTGGTTGCGTACCGACTGTAGCAAAAGACAGCAAACACAACACCAATGGTCACAGGCGCACTGGGGGCAATTCCAAAACCCCTGGACAACATTGGCATTGACAAATTCACCATCTGTCAGTTGCAAAAGGCAGCTTTCCTCAGGACAGCTTATACCCTGAGAAGATACCTTTTAACACCATCAAACAACACCTGCTTATCCCAGATCCTTGGACTCAATAGGTACCAAACCTAGTCTAAACATCTGGCTGACTGCAAGACAAACCATAATCATAATTTATGTTAAATAGAGTGCCAATAGTCATAGGCACTTTGGATCCAATCACAAAACTTATACTGTCAGCTTCGGAAGCCATATTAACGCTGACATACCTATTGCCCCCAGCAATCTGGGTTCTCGTTTTATCCATCTCGGAAGGAAGGGAGGCTGAGTCAACCTTGAGTCAGTCAGAATCGAACTCCTGGCAGTAGGCAGAATTAGTCTGCAATACTGCACTCTAACCACTGGGAAGGAGAGAAGGAAGGCTGAGTCAACCTTGAGCCATTCAGA